AGAGTTAAAAGCACTGACATTAATAGATACATAATTACACTCCAGGGTTAAGAGCTCATTGAGATGAAAAGGGCAGTTCATGGCACTAAATACCTCTTTTCAGAGCCCACAGACTCCATGCAGGCATTAATTAATCTCCTTTTACTCTTGTTTTTCTTTAGCTGGAAAACATTACCTACCATCTCCAGCTCAATATGTCTTAGTAAGTGACTCAGCCTTCTTTTAGCAGGTGCTTTTAATCTGGTTTGCAGCCCTGCTATCAGCTCCTTCAGCATCACTGGGAGGGCAGAGGAGGGACAGACAGGCAGGCAGGCAGGCAAGACTAGAAATGGCACATGACTGTACTAGTACCAAAAACCAGACCAACTGCAACCTTCTTGCTGCTGCAGAAAGCCCCAATCCTTCCTAAAACCCCTATCTGTAGGGCATCTTTCTCTCACCTACCAGTCTTTTATCTGGAGCAGGGTCCTCAACTCGTTATTGGGCTGAGTGGTGCTACCTGGGTCCCAAATTATAAAAGGCAGCAAAAGAGAGCTTTTGCCCTACTAGGGTAGGTCTTTCCTGTGTTGAGCTGGCTGGAGGTATGCAGGAACTGCTTCTGGGGAACAGCACCTGGATGAACTTTCAGATACCTTAAGAGCTTCTTCAAGGATGTGCCAGCTGCTCCTCCTGAGACCCTGCTGCCAAAACAGGGTCCTCAGCCAGCTGTAGTAGGTGAGTTGTACATGCATGCAGAAGGGGAAAGAGAAGGTGCTATCTCCTACAACCTGGTCTAAGATCTCCTGGGATGAAATGAGTGTGAAAGGCTCAAATCTTACTTGGCTGTTAAGGAAAAACAAAACTTGTGCCAGTTAAATTCAAGCTGATGGGCTCTCCTTAACTCTCCTTCCCCTGTTGTGCCAGGCTAGTGTGGGAGGAAAAGGTATATATAAATACAAGCTCCTAAATAATATATAAAACTCTATTAGCATATAAAAATGCTTATATATGTACAGATAAATGCAAACTTGTGTGTAGATGATTGACACCAAGGCTCATCCCACAGCCTGGCTGCAAGCCCCCAGCGTGCTGCGCTGTGAAGAGCAGGGAGCTTGGTCCTTGTGCTAGCTTAGTGCTGAGCAAGCTCACTCTTGAAGGCTGGAGGGCAATCCAGGAGATTTCACCATGGTCCCAGAAGGTGGAACTGGGAATGAGCTGCTCTTCATTGGATGTGAAGGACTTGAGCTGCTCTGGGTTCTTGGGATGCTCTGGTCCTTGGGAGGCCATTGCATGAATGAGCCCAGGAGGTATCAGGGAAGGTAGCCAGGAGTGATGCAATTACCCAAACTTTTGTTTCCTTAGCAAAAATTGGCTGCAACACCCCTGGCTTTCTAATCTCTACCTCTTCCCTTCCCGGAAAATGCACAAAATAGGCTAACTGTGCCTATTTCTGCAGCCAGACAGCATTGTGTGCGTTTCCAAGATATGTCCTTGAAGCATTTTAGCTTGAAATTGTGAATTTCTACCCTGTCATCATTTTTCCTGAGTCTGATAACAGGAGCTGAGGGGGGCCTGGCAGGAGGTGACTGAGCCTGGCAGCTGGGTTTTCTAGCTGCCCTCTCCCCCAGGATTAATTCAGCTGGGTACAACCCTTGCTGCATCCTTTCCTCCCTGCATTTAAGCAGGGAAAAAATGCAACAAAAAGCTGTATTCCCTTCCTCCAGCAGCCTGGTTGCATGAAATGTGAAGGAAATATGAAGTTTGGAGACCTCAACTCCTGCATCAAGTCTGCTTGAAGCTGGCCAATTAAGCTCAAAAAGTGATGGAGAGAACTAAGAGTGAGACAGCTCTCTCCAGAAAGTGAGAGAGAAAAAAGGTGTGAGGAAAACTCACATCTTTTGTTGGTTCTCATGGGAGCAGTATTTAATGTCTCATGTTTCTACAGGCATGGCCAGGGAGCAGCTGATGCTGTTAATAAAACTTGTGTTGCAGGGAGCGGTTTTCCCAGCAGCAGCTGAAGCCAACCCAGATAAAACAGCAAAATTGAGTGGACTTGGTATTTGCCTCCCTGGGGATCTGTGCGGGCTGTGGGCTGCTCCAGCCTGGGCTCTTTGAAAGCTCGGTCCTGAATAAATCCCATTTTATCTACGTGCAACAGCTGCCCCTTTTTGTCCAGCTTTCTGGGACTCCAAAGGCTTCAGCTTTGTGCATGAAAGGTTCTTCTTCTGACTGCAGGGTCTGGGGGACAAGCAGCTCTTACCATTCCTTTAATTTCACTTTTTTTAGGGGATTTTGTAGTGTTACGGCTCCTATTTGCTCTGGGAAATGTTCAGGTGGGCTTGTGCCCTTGCTTTGCCTGGCAGCAAACATCCCAGCCCAGCATCCTTGGGGCTGGGTTCTGCAGTCAGGTCTATTTTTTATTAAATTTGGTGAGTTTGAGTCACTGCTGGAGCTGCCTTTGAGAGCCATATCCCAGTGTGGTGTACAGGGTGGCCTGAATGGGCCTTGCTTCCCCCTGTGTCTGCAACAGCTTTGTCCCAGGAGGCAGCACAAGCATTAGCAAAAGTGAGCGGCTAACAAGGCTCTGTCTATTTAGCATCTCCCCTGTGCCCTTTCCCCCTGCTGAATTCATGCTCCTTTTGCTGGGTCACTAAGCTATCCCTCAGCCTGGCTGCACCTGCAGAGGATGGTGGACCATGAGTAAAGCTTCAAGCCAGCATCCCTCCCCGCCCAGGGATGCGGATGGCATCACCGCTGGGAAGCGTGGTTGCCCTGGGGCGATGCTCATCCTCACCTCCAGCGGGAAAAGGTCCTTCTCACCTGTGATCTCATTCTCTTCCAGGTCAATGGTCTCCAGGGCAGTGACGGCAGCCAGGGGCTCTGGGAAATGCCGAAACCTGTTGCGGGAGAGGTTGATGGCCCGGAGGTGCAGCAGGGAGGTGACCTCTTCAGGCAGGCGGTGCAGATAGTTGCCTGCCAGGTTGAGTTCTGTGGTTTGGAGAAGAGAGGAGAGAGGTGGTGGGATGGCAGGGGAAAAGATGGGAAAACTAATGTATAGCTTAATTTACAGCCTCTGTCCCCCATGGGCTGCCAGGTCCAGCAATGGCATTCCAACTCCGAAAATGGGACTTTTTTGCTCATCTCCATGGTTTGCCGTCATACTTTTGCCTCCTGTGAATACTGCTTGTAGGAGTGATATGTTTCTTGGCTTCCTCAGGCTTTCCTAATGAAACCCGTGCAGCATTTTGCAAGCAGGGGCTGTAGAAATAAGCAATATTTCTTAGTGAAGTCAGTGCAATTCCCTTCCCAATGGACATTTGTCATAGCTTAAGGCTATTTTTCCATCTTCACGTGCCTGAACCCCTTCTGAGGTATAAACAAAGTGGTGGAGGAAGTGTATTTATATGTGAAAAATATCTGTTCTACAGAGTTTAACCCTCTGTGATGCTTTTTCTCCCTGTAAAAATGAGCTGCTGTGGGGCCAGGAGCAGCACTCCTGCACAAAAGGCTGTTAGCCGTGGGAACAGGAACCCAAATCCTGCTGTCCCAGCACCCTTCTCCAGTGACACAGGGCTTTCTGCTCTATAAATACCCACACAAGCTGCCCTGCCCCTGCTAATACCTGGTATTTATAGGTCCTGCCTTATTCAGGCTGGTGCAAGGGTGTCCCCAGCCCTGGGGCATGTCCCCCCTGCAACAGCCCTGCTGAGGCCTGACATGTTCATCACTGGAGTGTCTTGTTCACTGGTGGAGCAAAGCCCTTGCTGGGAAACAAGACCTTTTTTTCACCTCACAGCTCGCTGTGCTGTCTAGAAAATGAAAATTTCCTTTGCTTGACATGTTTCTTTAGTCTAGGGGAGTTTTCACGGATGATGCTCCAGCATAACATGGGAAGCCTCCCCAGACACCCACCACAGCGGCACTCGTGCAGTGCATTGTATGAGCAAAATACTTGCTTTTAAAAGCTGCCAGAGCCCCGGGCGCTGCTGCGGGGGCAAAGCCCTGGTGCAGTCCCCAGTGTTCAAAACCAGAGTGCTGGATGCTCTGAATGCTTTAGCATGTTTTAGCAAGCAGATCAGCTTCTGGCTGCTTTCTCTGGGCTCCGCAGGGATGTGTCCCCATGGCACCAACCATGCACTGACAACCGTCCCCGTCTCCTGCAGCAAGTTGAAGAGCAAGCAACCATCACCAGTATCTCACAATGGGGGCTAATTAGCCAGCAGCAAGCCAGCATGCTTTCTGCAGCCTGAAACACCCCATCTTTGCCATGCACCATTATGCCCAGGCTGCCTTTCCTGTCCTCTTTCCTCTCCGGCCCCATCCTGGGAGGGAGCTGGAGCATGGTGAGTGACCCTGCAGCAGCCTGGCCACTGCTGAGAGTGGCTGGAGGTGACAGGGCATGAGTTTGGGAGAGTGGGTGAGAGAAAAACCAGTGCCCTTTTCCTGCAAGGGCTGGAAAGGGTAAAGAAAAATGGATTTTGGGGGGGAGCTGAACTAGTGCTTGGAATGAGCTACGAGCGCAGAGGAGCAAAAACTGTGTTGGGGAAACTCTCTGATGCTGTGCCCCCTCTGCAGCAGCCTGGGGGCTCTTTGCTGGGTCCTGGGCATTTGGAAGTGGCTGTTGCTGTCCCTTACCTCTCAGCTGGCTGAAGGTGGTGACGAATCGGCTGGTGAGGGACTTCAGCTCGTTGTTTGCCAGGGAGATGTGGTGGATTCCCTCGGTGACGCTCCTCATGGCTTTGTAGATGCCGACAGGGAAGGTTATCAGCTTGCAGTTGGCCAGATCTGCCCCCAGAGAGACCCAGGCACCTTACAATGTACCCAAGCTGGGGTGGAGCAATGCTTTCCATCTTGTTTTCCACCCCTTAATGCTTGTTTTGCCCACTTGGGTGCTGCTACCCATGGATGCTGCCATGTTCCCTGCTGTACTGCTCTCCATTGCAGGGATCTTTGCAATCACCTCTGCAAGCACCAATAGTTTGTTCCCATCAGCAATGCTAAGGCTGTTCTGCCTTAGGTGTGTTCAACCCCGAATCATGTTGCATTTACCTCCATGCTGCAATGTCCTTCTGCAAACATTCAGCCAGCCTGTTCATGTCTAATAACTGCAGTAAGCCCCCTTCCCTATGGCCCTAACCCCCTGGGGAAGGTTAAGCATCACAGGGATGCTTCCTCCACTGCTGATGGAGATGGAGCAGGGTTTTCCCTGGGCATGCTCCTGGCTGGATTTCTCATGGTGACAGGCACTTGCCCCATGGCAAGCAGCAGGGACGGAAGAGGTTTTGGCTGTGCTTCTTGCCTGTTAGCATTTTTGTTTCTGTGTTTCCCCTGCTGGGAAATGCCAGGGGATGGAAACCCTGTATCCCGGCCCTGTGATGCCCACCCAGGCTTTGCCCCCTCCCCAAAGCCATGGCGGGTGCTGCACAAGCTCAGTCCTCCCCCGCTTATCGTCTTGCTCAAGAAGACATCGAGAAGCTGAGTGATGAAGCTCTGTCTCTCAGCGTACACTGGTTTATACCCCAGGGCTGGGAATCCAGCACGAATAAAACTGAGCGTCTTTCATCTCTCTCTTTTGATGAGCTGCGCGTGGGTCTCTGATATTAGCTAGAAACAGCGAAATTGCAGAAAAACAAATCTGACAAGGTGACACGGGGAGAGGTCTGGCTCCTGCCATCGCTTGCAAAGGGGGATTTTATCCCTGGGGCATGTCCCATGGGATTATGTGCCATTGCTGGGAACCCACTCAAATTTTGGGAGGGCTGAGAGCCCTTTGGGGGAGCCTTTTTCTTCCCCAGGGCTGTGGGAGCTTTGGGCGCAGCACCCAGAGGAGGGGCAGGCAGCTTTTTTTTTTTTTTAGACCATGGCAGTAAAAAATAGAGCCCTGCTCCCGGACACCCGATCCTTCTCTGGGCCCCAAGCGGGAGCCGAGCCGGAGCACCGGGCTTACCAAGGGAATCCGTTTTGTTCTCCACCGTGTCGTTCACCTTCCTGGCCACCCGGGCCACCGCCTCGCCCATCTTCTTCTGCATGCGGGCACCCGGTCCCGCCGGGGACGTGCTTCGGCTGGGAGGATCCACGGCTGGAGGGAGAAACCAGCCGTTCCGGCCTCTTGGGAGAAGGATGCTAAAAATAACCGGCGGGATCAGCGTTCCCAGGGGAGGGAGGCTGTGCTGGGGCTGGCATGGCCCTCGGGGTATGAGATTGCCAACTTTCCAGGGTGGCATGTCTGGGATATGGGGATGCCCCCCCTTTCCTGGTATGGAATGTGGGGATGCACCCCCTTTCCTGGTATGGAATGTGGGGATACATCCCCTTTCCTGGTTTGGGATATGGGGATGCATCCCCTTTCCCAGTGATCTGGGGATGGTGTAGCCATTGGGGCATGGGATTCCTAACTTTTTGGGTTGGTACATTTGTGATTGGGGATACATCCCCTTTCCTGCTATAGGATACAAGGATGCATCCCCTTTCCCGTTGATCTGGGGCTGGTGTGGCCCTCAGGGCACAGGATTCCCAACTTTCCGGGTTGGTACTTTGGGATATGGGGATGCGTCCCCTTTCCTGGTGACCTTGATCAGCTCGGCTCAGCCAAAACGTTTCGGCAGAAGGAGCCCTGGATACGACGAGGGGACAACCCCCGCCCGGCTCCCCCAAAAAACCGCTTTTCCCACGCCGGGAGTCGAACCCGGGCCGCCTGGGTGAAAACCAGGAATCCTCACCGCTAGACCACGTGGGACGGCGGCCCGCAGGCGCCAGGACTCAGAGCCGTCCCGTTTCTTCCAGGTTCCTCAAGCGGAA